TCGAACGACAAAAACAATATATAAAATTGTCAATGTTCGAATTTCTCACTTTTTTTTTGTGCACATCTTAGTGTTACTTTTAACTTCGAAAATTCGAAGGTTATAGCAAATCGTCTAAACTTAAAAATGTTATCGAATCGGATATACTAAACTTAAGTATGTCTATCAACGGATATTCTCAAAGGAAAAATCCATTAAAATTTGGGTCGGGACTCGAGTTGGGCCGAGCTGATTGAATGTGATAAATTCACTTTTTAAAAAATTAATTAAAACCTTAAACTGGTACATGAGCACTCGAATCTTACTGGGGCCACTCTAAGGAGTATCCATAAAAATATTGGAATGTTTTAATAATTTTTGTTGGTTTTAAGATTTAACATGTTATGTGTACATAAGAGTTCTAACTTCAGACAAATTTTCAACTAAAAGGTCCTAAAAACCCAAAAAACAACTTGCATCCCGCCGCAAGGGGGTGAGAAATGGGTCTAACTTAAATTTAAATCTCAAGTAAATATTCCTCTCTAGAAATTTCAACTCGATTCGACTATTTTTCTCGAAATTATAGCCATTAAAAGTTGAAACTTAAATCTATTATGGTATTTTTTTAAATTTTAACTGTCAAGAAGGTAACCGTATGTGCAATGAGCAGCCTCTATAATGCAAATATATTTCAGATACCTGCTGTCGACCCTTACTCATTGCAATCTACAAACTTACAACCATAAAAACGAAATTCCCCCCTAAATTCTAAGGAAAGACCTTTTTTTTATAATTAGTCAAAACTTGACTATAGCTATAATCTCGAAAGTCTTTTCATATGCTTCTAATCGCCAGTAGTTAGAACCACGTGTCTTAAAAATGTACTAAGTAATGTTTAATTCAAAAGAAATAGTCCATCTTGTAGTGTTATTTAAATATATAATGATGTATACAATTGCGACTATCCAAAAAATACTTGTTTTCACCGAGTTGTACCCACTTTTCTTGTGCAGGCAAAAGAAAACAAGTTTTTTGAACCTCTCTAAAAATTATATTCATATTTACCAGACAATAACTGGATTTTTATCAATGTAATTATTTTTTGCGAGTTTCTGGAAAAACGGGAGGAATTTAATTTAAAATTTTGAAAATATAAAAAAAACTATAATTAGTATCACTTTGTCCTAAATTTGGTTTTTTGCGGTTTGAAAATCAAACAAACCAAAAACTGTTACTTTTAAAATGTCTTTAGTGTTTAAAAAAAGTACTTAAATAACAATAATTGTGATAAAAATTAATTAGGATTAGAGGAAAGAAAACCAGGAAAATTAAAAACAATAATATTATTCCAGTTACTAAAGCTCACTCACAGTGCAAACTAATAACAAAAACAATTCCTGATTGATAAAATCACTTTGGAAAAAAATGCATAAACTTGTTAATGTGATATTACCGCCGATAGTACATTTTATATATTAAAAATATAAATAGGTATTGATAAAAGCACTGTAAAGACAATGCACTTAAAATTAACCTATAACTATTGCATATAATTAGTAGGAATCATGTCGCACCCTTGGAGCAAGACTGCCACAACTCAAGTTCTGAGGAAATACAACTTAAAGATTGAACCTGCTCCCAAATTGTTAATTTTAACTTTGAAAGCTTTAATTTTAATACTTTTCAATTATTTTTTTGTTACCCGGTGTTTGTTATTTTAATTTCAAGCTACTTAGTTAAATCTCAGGCAGACACCACAATTTGAGGTTACGGCTATTCAGCAATAGGTTTTAACAAATCAAACTGCCAAAAACCAAAAATGTTTTCAAAAAAGAAGTACTACAAAATTGCAAATATTCTAAAGCGTACTTATTCCATCATTAAACCATGACGAAAATATTCGGGTTGAGTTCAATAAAATTGTTTTTATCAATTTTAAAAATACCCATTGCTGCTTCGTGTTTCGCTCAATTTGGAAATATTTAAAACGGCAGAGACCATAAAAGATGGTGGACAATTTTCAACAAATTAGGGATTCCGTTTTAGGCCAGTACGAACCAATAAGTCATTAATGATAAGACCATTGCTTAGGTGTATAAATTATTTTAATAATTGTTAAAGAGTGAGGGTTTTGTATAATTTCGCACATTAGCGCATGTGTTTCAAAAGTTCCACCGAGTTCAAAAGTAAATAAAGATTTATATGTACGATTTTCTATAGGAGTATTATTTATCGAATTTTCGCCTAAGCAAAACAAAATTTCATAGTTATAATTTTTTATAACTTAAAAAACATAATTTAAATTTTAAAAAAAATGCAGTTGTGTTTTTATTTAAATAGAGTTGAAATATTATTTTCAAATACTTTTTATTTAAATGTATTCGGTACTTAAATAAATTTTATTTTTTTATTTTATAATAGTAGTAGAATATCTACATATTTAGTATCAAAAAATAAATACCAATTTATTTATTACCATATGGATGTGGACAATTAGTTTTTGAATTAATAGGTAATACTTACAATTATGTTAAAAAATGTGTTCTTAAAACAAATTATTTTTACAAGAGTTAAATAATTTATTTGAAGAACTGAATAAAAATTGTCCAAAGCAGAACAATATATTTTATATTTTTAGTACTGCAGCTAATTTGTGTGTTATATTATTATGTTGTTTATTGAAATATATAAACGTCAATATTTTAGGTGTTAGTCACGTGTCTGTGTTATGAAGTGTAATTGTTGACGTCTCACTATTAATAAGTCATAACCTTAAAAAACAAAAGCTCAAAATAAATTCTATAAACACTGAGTTATAAATATTTGTAATTTAAACAAAAAAAATCCAGTACAGTTGGGTGGGGGTATAGTGGGGACGGGTAGGTCACCGGTTAACAAGAATTTTTAAATCTGAAAGTGATAGAATCACTTTTGAAAAAAACCTTTCGATACAAATCAGTAGTTAGTGTTTTCAAGCCAATACAGTCCAAACCAATCACAGTGTAAGCCAGCAAAGTTAGAAAGTATTAAATTGAGATGCTCTTTTTACAAATAAGCATCAAAGTGTTAATTTGAAAGTAATTTTATCCGAGAGGACTAGTACAGTAGAGTAAAGGTATAATGCAATCAAAGCATATTTCGACTGCCCCAACGAAAAGGGTCGTACTTCGTTTTTTGTAACTTTTCAGGATGAACCGAACAAACATCCAAGTTTAAATTCTTATTCTGTTTTTTAACATATCAGTTTGAAAATTTGGATACATATTATAGAGTTTAATTTTAACCTCGACGCCTCCTAAAAAATTTCTTAATACAATAAAAATAAGATCCAAAAAAAAAAAATTTTAAAATATAAATTTTAACCCGTGCCCCAAAAGGGTTGAAGTTTAAATGGGATTTAACATAGGATTTCGACACTTGTGTACAAATCAATGCATAACTTTTCTCCTATTCCATAGTTTGAGCGATTTTATAGCTTGAAGTCTTCCGAACACGAACACCATACCCCAAAGTTCATACCTGTCAAAATTGCTGCCAGAAAAGAGAAATTTAACAAAATATAGGGTTTTTTTGGCAACCTTTTTCGTTAACATTGTACTTAATGTACTTGAAGGATGTTGCTTGGCATCCGTATACATTGCGTGGAGGACCAGTGAACTTTTTTGTTCATATTGGCCTAAAATAAGACCCCTATTTTTTTTTCAGGATTTCCGCCAAGTTAAATATTTTAAAATTAGGTGTAACACGAAGAAAAAGGCATTTTTAAACTTTTTGGCATTTTAATGTCTTAGCTCTGGCACATAACCGAAAAAGTTTTACGAAACTGTGTCACCAAAAAAGCGTTAATCTCTTATCTGATAAGAGATAAGAGATATGTCGTACGTTCGAACTAAATGATAAATTTAAAATAGTTTAAGGGCCCAAGTTCTCTATGAATTAGTTTAAGCCAGATATTAAAAACTACAATATTAGCCAGAAACTTGATGTTTTAATATACTAGCCACCTTAGATACTAGCTTGTTACTGCTTGTGAATATACTATATCATTATTTATAATTCCACCACTACTCTAAATTGATTTGGTACTTCAACGAGACATAAAAATGCTCTTTCGTGGTTGCAGACTCGGCTGAAAAACTTTTAATAAAAATGGTATCTCAAACCAAATGTTTTCATCGCAGTTGGGATGATATAAGTACTGCTAAAAAAAATTGTTTTAATTTTTAAATTTTCAAATATGAGGTAATTTTGTAGTTGTTCTTTTTAAATATATTCTTGGTTATCATGGTAACGGTAACAGATGTATTAAATTTACAATTTAAATTAAGAATAATTTTCTGAATATTTAGACTGGACGAACACCAGTTTGGATATTTATATTTTGTGTAATTGAACTTTAAAATTTAGGACAGGAGTGAGTAAAATATTATTTTTTGTCAGTACTTTACCGCACTACACTTCTGTAAAAATACTGAGCTGTGTAAAATAATAAATAATGTGAATATCTATGAATTTTATAATACTCAATGATAACACAAATTTAATTCTCTCCAATTAAAAAAAATTTGTGCCATATTCTTTATGAATCAATCAATTTGTTTAATGTATTTTGAATTATCGAAAATATTAAAATAATAGGTTTTAGTATTAAATTCGGAGATACGCGTGCATTAATAAAGGGTCTTTGTATTACAACAATATTTTTTTTTCAACAAAGCTCAAAAAAAAAGTTGTTTTTCTGTGAAATATTTTCGTACCATTCGAAACATTTGTACAAATAAGAACAATTATTACAACGGCAGTAAAAGCAGAAAACACAACATGAACCATTTCTTTTTAAAAGCAAATAAATAGATTTTCAACTCAATCTTACGCGTCGATAAAATATCATACTGCAAAGACTGTTTGTGAATAGCAATAGGCAAATTTTTATTTCCTAGCAAGGCTCACACACGACACGTACATATTTTTTAATTACAATGTTTTCAAAAAATATTATACTATTTTTGTGTATTGTGGTGTTTATAGAGAAAAGTAGTACCGCAGAAAAAGAAAAGATAACCGATACAGCGGATGGAGATTCTACGACTATTAGTAATATGTGGTTTACTTATACGAAGGTAAGTATCCAAAATTTAGAACTATTAAGAAGCCTACAGTGTACATGACCTAAATAAAAATCTATTTCAATAAAATATAGACGTTAGCATATTTTCGATAGAGATTATTAAGAGTGTTGTATGAATAAAATGGTAAACAGAGTGGTGTATATTCTTATTTGATTAACTTAAATTGAAATTATTAGAATAATTATATTTGTAATTTATTCGAATAATTTTTTTATGAATAATGTATTGTTTGTATAATATTTTTCTTAAATGATGCACCATTCTGATTTTAAGTTATGTACACAAAATTTCAGTTTTTCTATTGTTCTTTATATTTTATCAATTTAGGAATTAATGTGTAATAAAAGCACAAAATAAACACGAAAATCTGAAAAATAATAATATCATTTGATTTATGTTTTTAATGTGAAAAAAAGTACTTTTTGTATTTATTAGTTTTCTCTTACCGTTTTATTTAGCAGAAACCCGTTTTTCAAGTTTCTTAAAATTGTTTAACACGTGATACTATTTTTTAAAATAAATACCTAAAAATTAGAGGAAAAAAATATAAGAAGTTTCAAGTTCAAAAAATAATGTTTTCAAATTTTTTAAAAGAATTAAAAATTTTTTAATTTTTAATTTGACTTTTACCCTTTATTGATAAAACGATGATTCACATCAAATGAATTTTTCATAATATTATAGAATATGAATCCAAATCTGCATAAATTGACAGCCGATGACTGGGAAAAGAAATTTAAAAAGTACGACAAAGATCATAATGGTTTAATATCCGCAAAAGAATTACAGCTACTATTATTCAAAGAGTTCACCGGATTCCTCACCGTTCGCCAAGCGAAGACATACATACATTTAATTAATTCTAAAAGTAATACAAATAATGAAATAATTTTCTAAGAAAAAAACATTCTACAAATAACTTTTTTTAGAAAATGATGAAATGGGATTGGAAGATCTTATACAAATGAAACCAATAATATTTGTCTTGTCACAGGTTTGTTCAGTTTTGTTACTATATAGGGTAATCCATTTTTTTAATTTTATAGTTTGACCGTTTAAGAAAATTGTTATTAGATTACTGTATAATATTATAAAATACCCAAGTTTCACAATTTACAAACTTTAAAAACTTTAATGAAAATGTAAATTTATAACTATCGTTTTAAGTTCCTAGTAATTAGCTCAAAATGTTTTATGGTATTATTTTATGAAAAGAAAGTTAGATAAAGAAGTATAGAACTTTTAAGAGTTCTATACTTTAACCCAAAACTATTAAAGAAATTTAATGTATTACAACTTTAGTAATTTTATAAGTAATTATCCAAAACGTATTATCGACCAGACCAAATTTTCAGCCAATCATTCCTATTTAAAAAAGTCAAATAAGCTTAAAATTCATCATTTAAGTTTCAAAAATTATTAGATTACCAAGAAGAATAAAATATAGATGTGGTCTAATATTATAAAATAACAATAACTAATATGTCTCATAAGAATCAACTAAAAAAATAATGTGTTTTATCCTTAATGAATCATCCTGTATAATATTTTTTGCATCTAATTCTTGCCAAAAAAGTCATTATTAAACTGATAATATGCGCTTCTTATTTGTTTTTAGCGAACAATTCGAAAGGATTTACCCGGCTCAATTCACATCGCCGATCATGACACTATTTCGGTTGAAGCTTTCGCGAACATAAATAAGAGTTGTTTTAAAGACGAGGAAGAATTTAAAGAATTACTTAAACTTATAGATCAAAAAAGTAGTAAAAACCTTAACTAATTATTGAATATTGTTTTTTATTTATTTGCATACTATTACAGAAAACAAATCTATTAAAATGAAAAAGGTCCGTGATACACAGGAAATGATAGACGAGTCGATTGAGGTTAGTACTTGTAATTTTAATATGATTGTTACTAATTTCTGAAAATAATAATATATTTACTTCTAAGACAAAAAAATATTCTAAGATAGATGGATAAAGTAAATTCTAATTACAATATTGTACAATTATTTCAATATTTCTATTGACGTCAATTACACACTTGATTTACTCTAAACTTTTTTATTAGTTTTAATTCTAAGACGAATATAATATAAGTTATTTATTGCTATTACAACACTTCTAGATGGCTCGTATACACCAGCAATTTTTGATATTCGGTAAGTGGGGCTTTATCAAGGACAATGGAAAAAACCATAAATCCATAAGAACAACATTGCAGTGGATATTTTTATTGATTAATATTTACATTTTTCCAGGCAGAGGTATGAATTTTCATGAATATATATGTCAATGCCATAACATTCCCAGAAATCTGTGGTAGGTACTAACTAAACTTAACAATCGACTCAAGTCTATATTTGTTCATTGGATAATTTAACATTTTTGAATATGTACCAAACATCTATAAAGTTCTTAGTAAATTTTTGGTTATTGCAAGCCAAAAATATATTTTTAAAATGTTAATTAGTGTCAGTTATTATAATGTTTTTCTCAAAATAATATTAAGGAATGATCTATGTACAAGAATATTACATTTTTATATAACAATATACATACATATATTTCAATAGTGATAAAAAATTTTCAATAATTAATAGTATATTTAATTGATTTGTATAACTGCTGAAGATTTAATAAATAAAATACATGTAATAAAATATATGTGTTTATATTTTAGCTTGATGTTTGATTTTTAAAAACAAAATTTCATGGTTATATTTTTTTATAACTTAAATAACATAATTAAAATTTAAAAAAAATGCATTTGTGTTTTTATTTAAATAGAGTTGAAATATTATTTTCAAATACTTTTTTTTTTAAATGTATTTTGTACTTAAATAAATTTTTATTTTTTTTTTTTTTATAATAGTAGTAGAATATCTACATATTTAGTATCAAAAAATAAATACCAATTTATTTATTATCATATGGATGTGGACAATTAGTTTTTGAATTAATAGGTAATACTTACAATTATGTTAAAAAATGTGTTCTTAAAACAAATTATTTTTACAAGAGTTAAATAATTTATTTGAAGAACTGAATACAAATTGTCCAAAGCAGAATATATTTTATATTTTTAGTACTGCAGCTAATTGTTATATTATTATGTTGTTTATTGAAATATATAAACGTCAATATTTTAGGTGTTAGTCACGTGTCTGTGTTATGAAGTGTAATTGTTGACATCTCACTATTAATAAGTCATAACCTTAAAAAACAAAAGCTCAAAATAAATTCTATAAACACTGAGTTATAAATATTTGTAATTTAAACAAAAAAAATCCAGTACAGTTGGGTGGGGGTATAGTGGGGATGGGTAGGTCACAGGTTAACAAGAATTTTTACAGAAATTATTACATCTGAAAGTGATAGAATTACTTTCGAAAAAACTCTTCGATACAAATCAATAGTTAGTGTTTTCAAGCCAATACAGTCCAAACCAAGCACAGTGTAAACCGGCAAAGTTAGAAAGTATTAAATTGAGGTGCTCTTTTTACAAATAAGCATCAAAGTGTTAATTTGAAAGTGATTTTATCCGAGAGGACTAGTACAGTAGAGTAAAGGTATAATGCAATCAAAGCATATTTCGACTGCCCCAACGAAAAGGGTCGTACATCGTTTTTTGTAACTTTTCAGGATGAACCGAACAAACATTTAAATTTAAATTCTTATTCTGTTTTTTAACATATCAGTTTGAAAATTTGGATACATATTATAGAGTTTATAGAGTAAAGGTATAATGCAATCAAAGCATATTTGTTAGTATCGTATCAAGAAGCATCTTTATATTAAATGAGAGAATATGGTATCGCTTTTTGTTTCAAATCGATAAATTCGTATTTAAGTCACCTTCATATTTTTTAAGTTTAGTATGAAAACATGTTATTGGTGTAGAAGGTGTAGAAAAAGTAATAAATAAAAATACAACGATTAGCTAAATTTTGTATGAGAATTGAGTTACTTGAGGATGTAGATTATTGTGACATAAGTAAAATGAAACAAAAAGTAATAAAGTAAAGTTTGTGAATGTAGTATGTGAATGTTTTTTTAACTGTTTATTTCATCATTGATAACGTGTAATCAAAACACAAAAATGTCTTATTTTTCTTGTCAAAAATTCAATATTTTTCACTTATTACCATTGTCAAAAAAATATATTCGAATGTACATACTTGTGAAGAGCATATTAAATCGCACTAAACACCAGTTTTCCGATAAGCACACGTTTTATCAGTGTTTTTATAAATGTATCATATATGATAGGTACATTGTGCATTAGACTGATATTTTGTTATTTTTTAATGCATCACCACATGATACATTGCGCATTTAGGCCATAGATAAAATATACTCAAATCAGTATTAATAATATACCAACAAAAGCAACAAACATACCAATAATACAACGATGAAGTAAAATAAATATTATTTTAACTACCTTATAACAACTTAGTTCAATGGTTTAGACTTAAAATACAGTACATGAGTAGTATAAATTTTTACTTTTTTTTTATTATTTGTGATAAATAAAGTAACAATTTGTTATTTTAAGTTTACTTAAGGTATAATTATGTTTATTGTTTTTGTTTGGGTATTATTAATAGACTGACTTGAGTATATTTTACAAAGAATGTGATGTTACATTGAAAAAGAAGAACAATTATTATATTAATTATTATAACTGTGATTTATGTCTTATTTATTTATGTCCTGGTATGTTTTGAAGTACCTAAATCGAAAAATAATTTTTTTCTAAAAAATGTTATCATGATAATTAAATCGTGCATTGTAGAGTTTAATAAAAGAATAATAATTTGCAGACAAATTTGACTGGTCGATAATTAGTTCTTGATAAATACTTTTAAAGTTATTAAAGTATACAATTTTAGGACGGAGGGTGAAGTGTGGTAGATTACACACAGACAAAATAATACAACCCTCCACCCTTCCTCACGTTCTAAATTTTAAACTTAAATAATTTTATAAGATCAGTTAAAATTGTTCGCAATTTATTCTCAATTAAAAATGTTTATTAAATATTATACGTTACCGGTTACCATTTAAGCTCCAAAAATTGCTTGAGCTTTGGTAAATATCATCAAAGGTAAATATTTGTAATTTTATAATATTGTAAAAACTAAAATAATACAAACAAAAGTGTTTTCGAAACAAAACACTGCAACGATGCAATTATTTAAAGAAAATGTGAGTGTCTTAATCATAACGAATCACCCTGTCTAATGTGTATAATATTGTTGAACAGTATGAAATGATATTATGAAACCATATAACTCTGACACTACGGCGGTCTTTGCTCTTTGTGTTTATATTTTCAGAATATAATAAAAGTACATATTTAGATGAAGTGCATTTTTTAAAAATGTTATGATTATACCCAGTTGTAGTGTCCAAACTCATAATTGGACATAAAAACTAGTTAATTGCCTCTTTAATATTTTCAAGTATACAGTTTGATTTTTAAAATATGATCCACTCAGAGTTTAATCAGTTATTGAATTTTTGATTCCGTAGTGCTTTTATTCAATGTGATATACAGTTTTCATAAACTATTATGTTTGTAACCCCCTCCGAAATAAGTTATTTTGTTATTCCGGATTTTTAAAGTCTCGTCCGATTAATTTATGTAGAACACATTAAATATGTATAAAAAAAAAAATTAAATTTGAGTAAGTTTTCGTGTACTTTCTGACTTTTGCCCAACCTGTATATTAATAGCTCTTACTTTCTACTGATTGGGATATTTTATCTTCCACACCGTATTATGCGGTAAAAATTAAAAAAAATACTACAAAGATGTGTTATCTTGTAAGTACACATAAAACCCTAAATTTAGTGCCTGTTTACTTAAAACGATTGTGACGTATGTATCTAACGATTACATTATTATTGTTGTTGTTCAACAAGCAGATTTAAAAAAGATTATTTTACATAAGTTATTGTTCCGTTCGGGTTTGGATACGTTTTTTAAGTGGGTGCCGCGTGCGGAACAAGTAATACTTACCGTTTTACGTTAATTTTAAATATATTTGCATTTAATTCCATTGGAAATTGGTATTAAAACCAACAACATTTAAAATTTCAACCATCGTTTTTAGGAAGTATTTAATTGTACACTTTGAAGAAGGGTCTCATGTTATCCCAAAAAACTGGTTGGTCGAGTGTTCAACAGGACTTAAATGTAATATACCGAATACAGAATTAACAGAGAAAGTGTATAACAATTTGGTTATGCTAATGAAAAACCCGCAACCGGATTGGATAATTGAAGACGTATTACGTATAGTTGGATCAAGTGGTTAGTATTTTGATTTTTCTTATCATGTTAAAAATAATTTTTTTGATTTCTATTTCAGTTTTATAATTAAAAAATTGTTGTTGTTTAAAATGTTAACTTTAATGTTGTAGATATGTTTGCGAGAGCGCATGAAAAACTTTTAGATACTATAAAATATAATTTATCGGAAGCTAATACTGATATAGATGACTACCAAAAATCCCAAAGCAAAATAAGGGCTAAAAAATAAGCACCATCATCGAGTAGTGAAGATGAAGACTCTGAAACAAGTAATATAATTTGATTTTGTAATATAAACAACAAATAGTTCATTTTCAGAAAAAGGCAGCGTATCGTCGAGGCAACGCTCGATTGATTCAATGTATACATGCAAGCTAACAAAAAAACATAACCATTCATGTTCTTTCGTAAAATCAAGCAATGAAACTGAGACAGTTGAGACGTTGCTAATAAGTGTTGCTCATCGACTTTGTCAATTATCTGGTACTACAGATTATTATTAATTATTTTAAACCGAACATACTACATAGCCATTTTATTTATATTATTCACAGCGGATTTTCAAAAATTGAAATCCAGTACAAATTACATAAAACATGAATTACCATAATTTATTGAAGAAAACAGGGAAGTTATGTCCACAACTCAAAACCGGGAGAAAAATGATGACATTTTATCATTATTTCCCATACAAAATGAAGAAGAACTGATACTTATTGAAAATAAACTTTCATCTGAAGATTCGGAATACCATAACCTATTTGTATGACAAATTTAGATATAAATTAGTAAACAAAACTATTCACATTGTTTTATTTTTAGCTATCTGCTTTTTTGTTTGCTGCCGAAGGCAAACTAATATCAAAATTGAATAACAGCTATCTAAAAACTATATTTACAAACGAGTTTGACACAGGGTATATATGTTTAAAGTCATTTTATATAATATACTGTTAAAGTTATTAAAATCATTACTTTTAGCTAATTAAGTATACTGTCATAGTTTGTAGGTTGTGTTGGTAAACATTTTCCAACTAATAATTTTAAAACGGACGCAGCATCGTCTATTATGACACGGTTTGCCCAAGCTCCCACACGAATTGTCAGGTATGTGTAATTATTTATTAATTCACATGATAAGCTTCTACAATATGGTGATACAAAGGATGTTTTCATAAAATC